CCCCCCCCCCCCCCCGCCGCAGCCGCCCTCATTCGACTTTTTCTTCGTCAACTAGGCGGCATGTTCCACGCCTCCCCTCCACTAGCCCTACTCTTTCCTTGCGGGCACCATGTGTATGGTAAGTCCCTCGCTCGATCGCCCGAGTGCTTCCCTGCACAATTATTTGTTTATCTCTCTCGCTCGCCCCGTTTCTCCCCCCTTCACGAACCACCCTTCTTGTATGAACGCTACAGAAGTGCCGGCCGGTGTGGATTACCCCGGAAGAATACGACCAAGATTCCTTGGCGGAGATGGAGCGGACTGACGCCAGGACGCTGCCCACTTTTACCGCTGTCGTCACGGAGGAAGAGTTTCGACGGCAGCAGCAGCAGCAGCAGCAGCAGCAGCAGCAGCAGCCGCGGTGCTACTGCGACTACCACCAGAAGATGTTGGACCAAATCCTGCGAAATGTCGAGCTCGAGAACGAGGGCGAAGGGGAGGGGGGGACGGTGGTGGGCTCAGAAGGCGAAGAAGGACAGGAGAAGAACAAGGGGCAGCAGTACGAGGAGGAAGAGCGACCGGCGGCGCTTCGGGGTATGGAGACCCAGGTGTGTCTTCTGCGCTCGTTGGCATGGTCTGTATATCAAGTTTCTCCCACCCAGTCGGGACAACGCGTCATGAAGTTGGGAGTGCGTTTGCGTTTTTTTTGCCTCGAAAAGCAAAGCGCGATTGGTTCGAGTTGGTGCAGATCCGACTGTATCGCGGCTCAAAGCCTTCTGGCGTTCCGTGATCGGGACCACGCAGGCCTCTCTGGTTGGTTCCGTCCTTGAACGTAATTCCGTGACAAAACACCGTCGTGCTCTGTCACCGTCAGGTTCGGAAGTCGCTGAATGTGCTATGGATGTCTGAGGGGTGGGATGGCGTGACCGGGCGGGGGGAGTCCGAGTCAGCGGGCCCTCTCGCGGAGGCGTCCCGAGCCACTACTCTCGGCGAGACAAACGCCGGCGTGGCAACAGACAGGGATCCGACTCCTCCCACTGACGCAGTAATCAGGTGATCAGTGGGGTTAGCAGACCTGACTCTTTGCGGATGGAAAAATTACGACCTTCGCGGGGCGTGCGTGATTTTCGCACCCGTGTTGTTCGGGGAGGAACGCCAAGATGACCGCTACAACCCACCTATGCTCGGTGTCTAATCCCTACCCGTCTTTTGCAACCCCCGTCCCTCACCCTCCGCTCCGTGTCTTCGGACTGTTTCGATCGCCCAACAAACACGCAGGCCGAATCCGAACTTGTGCGTAACGACCTTGACGCCAAGCGTGGTCTCCCCTTGCGAACCCGCCTTCACCGCCACGGTGACCACACCCGCTACGCAAGAACTGAGGAGGCTCGCGCACGCCCAAGAGTGGTCCTCGAAACGGTTCTTAGAATGGTCTCCGATCCGACGATCCCCCGAGCGGTCCAAGAAGCGGTGGTCTCCGAAGCGGCGGGCTTCGCCGCCGCTGCTGCTCCTGCCCGAATCGTTGTCGGCAGCGTCGGGCGGTGGGGGGCCACCAGCGGGCAGCAAGTCGCCGTCCTTGGCGACCATCGCAGCGTTTCGCTCGACCAGCACGGAGGACGGGGCTCGAGCGGTCGCGTTCTCGGCGTTTCTTTGGAGCCACGGTTACCGCGGCGAGAGCGGCGCGGGGTCGGCGGTGGTTACGGAGGCGTCGTTTCCCGGCGGCGCGCTGCGGCAGTTCGAACATACGCTCGACTTCTTGAACTCGACCCCCGCGATGGGCCTCGGAAGAGAAGCGCCTTCGGGGGGAACTCCCACGCCGTCGTCCATCTGCTGGAGGTACGCGAAGACCATCCACCTGCAGCGGCACCGGCAGGAGCAGCAGCGGAGGCGCCGAATCCAGCGGCGGCAGCAGCTGCAGCTGCAGCTGCAGCGGACAGAACCGATTTCGAAGCAGGTGGGGCCCACGGTGCGCTACAAGAGCACGGATCAGGTGGAGACGGAGCGCCGAGAGCGTGCCTCACCCCAAACCCAACCGAAGGGAGAGTCCCTGTCCCCAACCAAGGAGGACGACCGCGGGTTCTTGCCGCCGCCCCCGTTGTTCAAGTCTACGCAACGGCTACAGAAGGAGCGACCGGTGCCGCAACAGGCAGAGAAAGACGGTGGGAAGCACGACCTGGAAGTGCCACCGCCACCGCCGCCGTCATCGCCGGTGTCGCTCTCACCGCCACTTCGCGGCGCCGCCTCGCAACATCAGCAGCAGCAAACGGCGCAATCGGGCAGCACCGGGAACGCTTCAGCCCCCGCACCGCCCGCCACCGGCAGTGCCGCCACGGCACCAGTAGCACAGCAGCAGAAGGCGAGGAGAGAGAGAGAGAATCTTTCTCGCGGTGTTCTTCGTCGTTGACTTATACCTCTCAATTCACCCGCTATTTTTCGTTTTCTCATCCTAACATCCTCTTTTTGCCCGTCCCCGTGCTAGAGGCCATGCGCCCCCCCCCCTCTCTGCCTCCGCCAGAGGATGAGGAGGGTACAGTCCAAAGTAAGCACAAGCTTACCTAAGGTTAATGCCTATTGGTACGGCATTAAAAAAATACGAAAGTCTCCCATTGGGCGGTGNGACCAGATCAACCACGCAACAACTGCGGAGCTAGATGTGCGGCACGCACAACGCATTGTTTTCGATTGGAGAGAGGCGAGCATTAAGCAGTGAGGAATTGCTGGCCAAACTTTCGGCAGATAGGTCTACTCGGGAGCGTAAGTGGGGTAGCAACCCATGGTGGAGCGTACATGAGAAGCTGGACATTGGTGTACGCTCCATCCCGGCGTGTGAGTAGGATCTTAGGCTATGCAAGTCGTCCCTGAACTTATTGTGGTGAAAATG